AATTCAAACACTATGAAATGTAAACCCTCGTCGTGTGAGGATGTTGAACTTTTAAAATTCATACCCTAGGTGCAGTTACTAAAAAATCTTGAATGACTTTCAAGACCTTAAGGTCAAGCTCTCAGTGAGCTTGACCTTAAGGTCAGAGGTCAAGTTTTCTGAAATTCTCTTGGGATTTTCATTATCATGCATATTTTTACTAGGAGGCTGAGCGGCAGCACTGGCAGCCCCCAGTATTTTTAATCCAGTAAATGTACATGCTAATGGTACCTTGCCTTTCCTGAGCTAGTGCTCATTTTACTCTGCAAAGCATCTTGTGAGCATTGAATATATGCTAAACACGGGTTAATTGTAGCCCACTTTTTGCATTTAAACATTCACTGCTGTAATCAGCATTAATATGATACTTGTACTTCAGATGTCATGAGGATTCATGCCAGTCATGGGTGACACTCAAACTTTACCTTTAGGTAAATTCATATTAAATTATCAATATGCTGAATTCACAGATTTCTACAATGGATGTAATTTCAACATCCTCTAAGCTTTTTAACCAGCTACTAGTGGCACTCACTGTGTGTGTGTGTGTGTGTGTGTGTTCCTGTCTAGCTATCTTTGTGAGGACCAAAATCTGCATTCTACTATACTTGTGAGAACCAACAGTCACTTGTGAGGACACACACACTGGTCCTCACACATTTTAAGGCCTTTTTGAGGCTCAAAATGTGGTTTTAGTGTCAGGGTGACAATTAGGCTATGGTTAGGGTTAGGCATTCATTTTTAAGGGTAAGAGGATAGGGAAACCATTATGTCAATGAAGGTCCTCACTAAGATAGCTGAACGGGCGTGTGTGTGTGTGTGCGTGTGTGTGTGTAGCAATGGTCAGATTGACCTCTTAACCCTTTATTGACCATGGGCCCACCGGCGGGCCCATTTTACAAGTAAATTTGAAGGGCCGGTCAATAAAGGGTTAAGTTGAGGTTTGCTGAGATGTAATTTCTGTGTATTTTCTTTCTTTTTTTGGCCCGTCCTCTTCCTCGAGGAATCTGTTGGTAATGTGTGGCCTTGATTGTGACTGGGGACATTTTTTTTCACCATTAAATTGTTGTTGAGCATTGTTTACCTTGTGTCCGTATAGTTGTTTTGTCTCATTTTTTAAAATATCTGGACATTTTATTGCTGCTCTTTATATTGCTTTCTTTGGGGAATGTCATAGTTTCATAAATAAACGTAGAACTTTACCCGTCTTCATACTGACCTGCTTACTTGTTTGGTTTTAGTATGAGACTTGGGAATTGCTGTCTTGACTCAAATTGAGTATGTATTTGTTGGTCTGGATGCTATAGCTAAAGTGGGACCTAATCGTTCTCGACCTGGAACTTGATAGCTACATTGCAAAAAACACAACATAATGGCAAAGTGAAAAAGGTTTGCTCAAAATTCTTGCAAAATTATTAAAAACAAGAGTATAAGAAGTACATTCACAGCCTTTGCCACTGCACTCAATAAAAGCTCAGATCCATTCTGTTAAATGTGCATCCTTTTACTTATGCCTTTCCCGACCTGGTACATATTTTACTCTATAAAACATCTTGTGAGCCATGAATGGAAGAAGGTACAACATGTATCACTAAACATCACACACACATCTCCTTGTTCAGCTAGCAACATGCCTTTCTGTTCTGCCATGTTGGGAGATTAGTTGGATGCATTTGTTGTCACAGAGCTTCAAGTGAATGTCTAGTCCATCCATTCATTCGTTCCATTTGCCCTTATGAGGGTCATGAGGGGGCTGAAGCTTATCCCAGCTGCCATAGAGTGAGCGGCAGGGTACATCCTGGACAGGTGTGGTAATCTGACACAGGGCATACACAGAGAGACAGGTAACCATTCACACTTGCATTCACCTCTTGGGCATTTAAGAATCATCAATTAACCTAACCCCACTAATTGCCTGTCTTTGGACTGTGAAAGGAAGCCGGACTATCTGCAGACAACCCACACAAACACAGGAACATGCAAATTCCACACAGAAAGACCCAGTGAGATGATAATAATAATAATAATTGATTGCATTTAGCGCTTTTCGACACCCTCAAAGCGCTTTACAATTCCACTATTCATTCACACACTGGTGGAGGCAGCTACAGTTGTAGCCACAGCTGCCCTGGGCCAGACTGACAGAAGCGAGGCTGCCATATCGCGCCATCGGCCCCTCTGGCCATCACCAGTAGGCAGTAGGTGAAGTGTCTTGCCCAAGGACACAACGACGGGCCGGGGGTCGAACTAGCAACCTTCCGATTACAAGACGAACTGCCAACTCTTGAGCCACGAGATGGTGGACTCGAACCTGAGAACAGTGCTAACCACCGTGCAACTGAAGAGAATCTAGTAAATCTTTGCTAGTTATAATAGATGTAATTTATCAACTCTGTTTTTGTTGGTTTCTATCGTATGTCTAGGCAGCACGGTGGTTAGCACTGTTGCCGCACAGCAAGAAGGTCCTGAGTTCAATTCCACCATCAGGTCTTTCTGTGTGGAGTTTGCATGTTCTCCCCGTGTTTGCGTGGGTTCCCTCCGGGTACTCCGGCTTCCTCCCACCGTCCAAAGACATGCAGCTTGTGGGGATAGGTTAATTGGATAATCCAAATTGCCACTAGGTGTGAATGTGCGAGTGAATGTGAGTGCGAATGGTTGTCTGTCCCTGTGTGTTGGCCCTGCGACAGACTGGTGACCTGTCCAGGGTGTACCCCGCCTCTCGCCCTATGACAGCTGGGATAGGCTCCAGCGCCCCCCGCGACCCTGAAAAGGATAAGTGGAAGCGAATGGATCTATCGTATGTCCAAAGAATGTGAATCTTGCAGCAATTTGAGTGTTTATACTTATCAGGGATCCCTTGAGACAGAACTGTGGCATCTTCATACATTTCGGAGTCAGCCTCTAAGAAATCCTTGGAACGTTTAAACCTGCATTGCTTCTGTGTGTATTAGTAGGCTTGTTAATGCATTCCCTATCTGTGTGCGTGTGTGTCTTATTTTCATTTTTTACCTTTTGTTGCTATGCTGAGGACCCTTCCCTTTCTCAAGTTCTGCCCCGAGTCACTCGGCCTGAGTGTTGTTTTCAGGACAACCTTTAACCCAATGATTTGTGGCTCACACTAAAAACAGACTTCATTCATTCTTCCTCCACCTTCTGCAGCTGTCTGTCTCTCCAAAATCCTTCATCTCTGTAGCCAAAGGCTGGTGAAGTTACTGCGTGATTTTGGCATTTCTATACGCTGCTGGTCCCCCTGTAAGGCTGAGGGTGATGCCATTTTCTGACCAGCTGCCATTGACTCCTGATGAGGTGGTGTTTCTCCACTTTAAAATAATCAGTCTTTGTTTTAGTTTCTGTTGGTTTAAATTCCACTTCAGGCATAATGAGTGTTGTGGTTCATTCATTCCTGGAAGAAAAGGAAGTAGCTGCTAAGTCTGCATTAAAATCAGAGCAGTTCCTCTATTGTGCTAGCTTGTTTTTCAGGTTTAGAGTGGGGTTGAGGTGAAGCTGTGGAATTTTTACCAAAATCTGCCCTTGGATGTAAGTCTGACGGTGCTGATGGTGCTTGGTTGACCCAGGTCCGGGTCTATCTGCTTCTGACACTGAGACGTTTGATTAGTATCATTTTTCATCCCTGCCTGTCGACACTTTCTCTCCCTGATTCCTGCTTTGTCATAAGAAAAGAATATTTTCTAACTGCATTAAATGACAATATTCATTTCTTCTAATTAATTTGCTTTATACATATCTTCATTTTTCACTTTTTTAAGTTTCCCTTTATTGGATTATTTTATGTTATACTGAAATACTTTGTTACACTTAATTTCTGTTGGCTTTTGGAATTTGAGCTCCCGTGTTGTTCACGTTTAATCTCAGAGACCGAGATTCTCAGTGATTCTCAGTCAGTCATGACTTGTGTAACCCACAATGCCACTAACATGAATCTGTGGTAACATTAGCCTTAACTATTCAATTCAATTCAATTCAATTTTATTTATATAGCGCCAAATCACAACAAATGTCGCCTCAAGGCGCTTCTAACTAAAGCTTGGTTTTAATCTTTTGTTGTTCTTATTTAATTTTTCTGGATAAAGTTTGGATCGATGTCCCCTTGCTAGAAGACATCAGTCCAGCTCTGTTGTAAATGGGTCAATATCTACAATCTGTAGAAGAGATGGATAATATCTCAAATATTTGTTTTAAAAGCCCAGAAAATAAATAAATGAATAAATAAAAATAAAAAAAATGTGGGAAAGAATAGCTTTAAATTTAGTTTTTTTAAGTTTTTGTACAAGAAAAAAAGGTTGGAAACATTTTTAGCCATCAAACTGGAGCATTTAGTTTTATTTGATTTGCCTATTTTTACTCAAGCCTCATTGGATTTAAATCGTCATTTCTGTTTCATGCATGTTTTGCAGATTGTTTAAAAGCTACTTTATAAGAGTGCTATTTATGTGTTTTTACTTCTCTTGCCATCATATTCCAATCATATATGCAATAGCAATTACAATGTTCAAGAGGGCTAAATGGCAAACTGCAAGTTTTAAATATCATGAACTGTGATCTCTGCAGAGATGGGCAGCAACACGTTACTTGTAACAGGTGTGCCACCGCTGCGGCACACCTG